CTCTCTCTCTCTCTCTCTCTCTCTCTCTCTCTCCCTCCTCACCAGAGCCACTCACCTCTGCACCACGGGTTGAACAGAATGTAGATAGGGTCCTTGTGTTCATAGCGATAGACTTTCATATCGTTGTTGTTTTTCTTGACCACGTCCAACCTGAGATTCCACTTGCCCACGTAGCAGGTTGGTGGGGTGAACATAGTAACCGACAGCGAATTGCCCTGGCAAAAAGATTATCGTCGGCAAGCTTTTCAAGTGTCCTAAGTCCAGAGAGCAAATTTTTAAGGAGAGAGAAAAAAATCAAAACGGGTGCTCTTGTATAGTTTGCTCCTTCTTTCCTATCAAACATCTATCGTCCTTATCCCCCCTCTTTCTGTTTTGCATTCGTTACTCTCTTGTAACACCTCTAACCTTTGGCACTTATATGACCATATTGTGTTACAAGGGCCGTAAAACTCTTACCAAAAAAAAAGATTTATAAATTTTGAGAAAATGTTAATATTTCCCGAGCTCGTGCGACCAATACCGCAGGCTAAAAGCTGTAATTCAAAACAAAAAGAAGAAAGTTTTGGGTTTATTACATTTGAGTAGGTGGCAAACGTTATGTTTATGTTGTTTTGCTACGGAGTTTCCGCGATGAACGAAGTGTCTTTAATGCAGAAAGAGCCCTCTTACCAAAGAACCCAAATTATGTCGTCTATCGTTCACTCAATGACATTTGAACCATTTTGATATAAAACGGCAGGTTATAATATTATATAAGTTTCGTGCCTGTTTATACTACTCAGACACAATTTAAAAAATCCAACTGCCCTTCTCAGCATGGAACGATGGTAAGGGCATACTGTTAGGTCAGCTAATAATGTGCTGCTGGCAATACAGATTTCAGTCCCTGCACTGTTGGCTTCAGTCATTGTTTTTCCGGTCTTTTAAATTCTCTTAAATCAGGTTGCCTTTTGGCCTTTCTAGGCATCCTCATGGAGGAAATGAAAGGTTGGCAGAGACTACAGCAACAAAATACTTCAAGGAACAACCCCCAACCTCATCTTTTTAAAACCGCCTGTTCATTTTGAGAGACTACAAGCAGAAGGCCGTATGAAGGGAAACACCAATTTTCCCTATGGCTGCAACTACTTAATAAGATTTAAAAATGGGATCAATCTTTATTGTCCAGAGGATGGCACGTTGGTTTGAAATTTCATCACACACACACACACACACACACACACACACACACACACACACACACACACACACACACACACACACACACACACGCGCGCGCGCGCCCTCGCCCTCGCGCGAAACAATCTCCCACATTCTAGTTCTCAGAAATGTGTATAATTATTTAACTTATTCAGAGAGTTAAGTTTGTTCTATTGTTATTTTTTTAAAAAGAATATTGTGTGCTTTAAGATGTCATACCACGTACGGCATCCCACGAAAACGTGTTACTTATCCGGGGGGATCCTACTTTTACACCAAGTTAACTGACAGGGACTTTGTCTTTACTTACCTGTTGTCCTAGGATTTTGGCGCCCCATTCCTTGGGCTTGTCCACATCAGAAAGTATGAACTGCACTTTGGTACCTTTGGTAGGTGTGGGGTTGTCACCTGAGACAGTTTTGGGAGGGAAATTGTTACTTGATATAATAACACATAAATATAGACATACACATGCACATACACATACACACACACAGACATACACACACACACACACACACACACACACACACACACACACACAAACACACACACACACACACACATGCACATACACGCCTTTCTGTTTTGTTTGTTAAGGGGTTTGTTTGCTTGTTTATTTGGGGGGGGGGGGGTTGCCTTTTCTCATCTGATACAAAACCTCGTTACACTATCTACACTTGTCGTGCAAAGTTATCATAGCAAGTGCTGCTGATTAAAAGATAGATCTACATAAAGTTATCAACATTTTCAAGTTTGGTTGAAGAATTGATCTTATGAAAAATAACTTTCTAAAAGAAGTGAATGGGAAACAACTAGATCTTAATGTAAGTAAAATTAAATAGAAGATAACTCTTATTCTGAATAGAGACTGTATCGACACTATTTCCATCCATTTTAATTATAAAGTTCAGACAAAAGACTTTAATAGGACTACAACAATACTGACAACAATGAAGTCCACTCACACATCCTGTGCTCGTGCAAGTAATACATGTTCTTTAAATAAGCAATACTTAAACAGTTTTATGTGCGCGCACTGTTGACTACCATTACAACCAGGCATAACCCCAGCCCCGCACAAAAAAAGAAGAGAAAAAGTCACTATGAAAATTTACCAGCCTCAAAGACGATGCGAAGATCATCTGTTTTACTGTCATAAGGCTTGGAGAAATCCAGCTCAATGTTGAAAGGTTGACCCCTCCTGACCACGAGCTTCGGTCTCTCCTGGTGTGAGCCACAGATGTCATACTCGTCAGTTCTGTGAGCTTTTGTGTTAGCCGGAACCTTCAGGTCCACATGACGGACTGTAAGGACTTTGACGGGGTCGGGCTCTGAGGGGAACAATGTTTCGTGTTTTGATAATACTGTTTGTTTTTCCAGTCTCTATACGCATTCGACACAGACAAACAAACAAACACGCACACATATACATACACATATACACATACACACAAGCACATATACCCTCTCACACACACACACACACACACACACACACACACACACACACACACACACACAAACACACAAACACACAAACACATAAACATCAAAGAGTTGTAACACCTGTAACAGGTAATGTGTCATGATGTATCTCGATACCAGCACTGTGGGTGTATTACGAAAGAGTTGTGGGTTGTTTTTTGTTGTTGTTTTTTTTTTTTGGGGGGGGGGGTTGTTCGTCCTGGTTTTGTTTGTTTGTTTGAATGTTGTTTTTTTTGGAGGAGTCTAAAGGGCTCGTGTAAACTGATACTCTCGATAACGATGGGAGTGTATGTTTTTCATCGTGCCAACAGGGCGATTTGAAATCTAGACAATTGTGAGTGGAGATGAACTGTTCAACACAGTAGCGGTTCATTTGAGGAGCGGCATATTATTCGAATTATCCGTGGGGTCGAGGTTTGCATGTGCGAGTCACCTGTGCTCGACTGTATCAGATCAAGACACAAAATGAATTCTCAAGAACAGCCCAAGTAAAGCCAAACCTGTTCTAATGGACACCTGTATATGACAATCACAGACACGGAACAAACGAACACTTCTTAACTTCTAGCGTTTTTGTACACTATAATGACACTTTGTAAGACATCAATCTGTCTAAGGCGGCCACTTTTCTCCTACACACAAGGCGATCGTCTTATACACAGGTTCGATTATATTTATATATATATATATATACTTACTGGGTGGTGGTGTGGGTTTGGGAGGAGCAGTCGAGTCTGCGTTGTCATTGTTCACGTCATCCTGCCCGTAGACGTAAACATTGCTGTGAATGAAAATTAAAAGACGAGATTCTTTTTTACGTCCGTTTGAAAACAATGGAAGCTGTTCTAATAGCCAATGTCCAAGATAATCTTCCGTACCAACGAACATCCCCATCCACCTCTTTTTGTCGTTTTTATTGTTGTTGTTGTTGTTGCTGTTGTTGTTGTTGTTATTGTCTCTATTGTTTTGGGGTTTTTTGTGTTGTTTTTCTTTTTGGTGGGGGAGGGGGGGTGTATACTGACAAGACGTCCACCTGTCTAAGACAATCCAACTACTTTTCTCCTGAACAATGGATGGTCGTCTTAAAAACTTAGCTGTAAAAGATTTTGGAGCTGTAAATCTTATCAAGTTGGCCGCTGGAGAAGCTTTCAGTAGTTTATAGTAGTACCTGATGAAAATAAGATCAAAGCCAACCCTTGATTCTTTTAGGGGATATAAAAAGATACATTTTGAAGATAAAAAAGGCTTAAATTGATCCACAAGAGTATATTTGATTATATGATATTGAATCCAAGAATTGAGCCAAATGTTAGAGAGTTAGGAGCAAGAACATTTTGTCTATCCGCTCAGATGTCATAGCAAAACCTTACCCATTGCGACTTGTAGTAGATCTGTCAGAACCCGCCTGGTGGCTGTGACGGTTGAGACTACTGGTGGGTCCGTGGCGACCGTCTTGACGCGGCATTGTTGACCGTGGACGAGGGGCTACTCCGGAGTACTCTGACGGTTTGGCGCGGAAGGGATGGGTTCAGAGCCTTGGGTAAGGTGATTTGGTTGCGAAGTAGGAGATGGTGGTCTGAAAAACAGAGTAAACATAGATCTAGCAGTCTTATTAAAATGTGTTTAAATTCAGTAAATGTTCTGGACAGACATTTACCTTGGGAGCAGGAGTCAAAAGATCTTTCAAAGGAATATGTGAAAGCATAATTCTGCAACGTTAGCATTGCACAATCTAACCTTTGCAAATATATTGGACCCCGTTTCCTTTATGGATAGAATAATGAGAGGACTGGTCTATATGAAAATACGTTCTCAACCTGGAAAAACAAGGATGACGACGTAAAGCCATTAACATTATGAATATTGATACTGCCTGAAAACAAGAAGCTACAGCTCTAGACTTAACAATACTTTCAAACTTTAATACAGCTAATTTCTTTCGTCCTTTTGTCTGTCGGAAAATGGTAAAGCCTAAGTCTGAATCAGCTAAGGTTATTTTTATAAACTATTTTCTTAGATACCATTCGACACTATTCCAGGAAAATAAAAGTAATTTTTCAAGAGTTACTTAAGTAAGAGTTAAAGTAACATGAACGTAACATCAATAATTATTAAGTAAAGATTTACTTTATTGTAAAGATCTCAAGCATTTGGCAGAGATGGAGGAAAATAACCAAATATGACTTTCCACGCTGACTATCTTGCCTTCTGGCAGACACATTGCAGCACGGTAGGTGGAGCAGGGAAATTAAATGAAGATTTTATGATGCTCCACAGTTACTTATGGACGCATAAAATAAATTGCATAAAAACAGTGTACTCATTCTTTACAAATAGCCATAAAACAGCCCAAAAAAAAGCTTCAACTGAAGAAAGATAAGGACAACCTCCACAAAGAAGAACTATCAACACACTTTAGAGCAGGAGTTAAACTCTAAAATTGAAAAACCATGTGGAGAGAAAAAGACCAAGGCAAAAGACTCCAACTTATTAAAAAAAAACAAACTTGCAGGCAGTTCAAGGGGTTCCGACAAACACACTGTTTAAGTTCTATACCAACAACTATAATATCGTAACGTGATCCACTTCTCTACAAATAAACACGTCAGTTACTGCTCATTCTTACAAAGACCTTGTACTTGTTGGCTGTGCATGTTTCATATTTTTTAGTCAAGCTGTTTCTCCATTTTAAATAACAGGTAAGCTTTACAACAAATGTCCATACTGTAATTGTACTTTTCATTGTTACGCGCTGCTCTTTGTGCTCCGCTTCGCATTGTTCTTCATGAGGTGTACCAGAGGATACCTTGACCGCATCTGATTATTCGAAACACGTGGGCCGTGAACATGCCTGGCTATCCGCTATTGTTTTGTGGAAGTCTGCCCCCCCCCCCCCCCCCACACACACATACACACAACAACAACAGCAAAAGATTTGTAAAAGAGCGGGTACTCCTCAGATTTACGTTATCTTGATGGACCTAAGTCACTGCGTGTTCACACCATACCCTCACACGAGCGACAGTCGTTGTAACGACAACAACCGACCGACCAAATTAAATGTACCAAAGAAATCTCTTATCCCTCATTTGCTTTCAAACCAAAGCAGCGACAATGGCCGAGTCTTAAGTCCAGTCAGCGCTGTCAGTTGTGTAAGGACAACCAACTCACGCTCACGTAACCGCACTGCCCGAGGCACTGAAATTAAAAGAATCCTCAAATTAAATCAAAACCGTTGCGTCCCACATAGATAAAGCTGTCATTGATGACGCTCCAGTTAGGAGCGGCACTGCGTTTCTCGCGGAATCCAAACTACGTTCTTTCCAAGGCCGTCCAAAGCTGTTTGTGGTCTAGTTTTCACGTTGCAGTTGTACCAAAGCAATGCTCCTACTTACGCCTACAGTTTGATGTAGCAAGTGATTCAAACATGGACACAGATTGATGCGCTCATATCATCAGTATTCATTAGAACTCCCATTTGGGACAAACGTAACAAAGTCCACATTGTATTTTTTTTTTACTTTTAGAATACGAATACAGTGTTATCGAACGCCGTACACATATGGGCTGGTGGGGCACCTGAGGTCTATTTTGGCCATTACAAGGCCTAGAGTGCCCATATTTGCTGTAGGACATCGTGTGTTATTGGGGATTTGATGACGATAATGGTGATAATGGTGATAATGATGATTATAGAACCGCACGCTATCCCTCCCTTCCCCCATCCCCTTCTCTCTCTCTCTCTCTCTCTCTCTCTCTCTCTCTCTCTCCTATAATTTTCCCAGGGTGATCTAGTTATAGACTAAAGCAAGCTTCCATGTAACATCCGATCTCGGGAATGACACTTAAGTAAGAGTTTGGACAACGCCTTCCCTTTCTATGAAGAATGCATTAATACAGTGGAACTCGGATTTAACGAGCTTGGATTCAACGAGAACTCGGATTCAACGAGATGAGATAGATTCCCCGTTTTTTTCTTCTTAAAAATCAATAAAAGTAACCCGGATTCAACGAGCACTTAAATCAGCGAGCTCGGATTCAACGAGGTCGCTTCCACGGTGAACAGCCCCCCACAAAAGTGGCTTCGCTCATTTTTCTCCCAGAACGAACTGTATCTATTCCCGGAACCATCCATTGCACCTGCATCGTGAACCATTATTCGCTTAACCGGTTGCATGCGACAAATCAGCGGCCTTTTAAAATACCAACACATGTGTTGTTGGCACGCGCACGTGTCTACTCTGGCGTGTGTCGGGGTCAGATGGGCGGCCTGCACATGTGTGGCTGTGTGTGTGTCGGGGAGGGGGAGGGGGGCACTAGCGGTCCGGACGTTGAACGTCGCAGATACAAACGCGTCACAGTCTTTTTTTCCCCTCGGCAACTGATCATTATTACAATAATAAACTAGTCTTGACGTAGATCTACGCTATGAATTGTGAGCTGGTGTATGGAATCAAAAATTGCCGTTTACTAGGCTCTACACAGCAACACAACTTTTTGGTAAACAATCGAGAAGACACAGGCGCGTGTATTTGAACAAATCGGTCTTTTTTTTTACACAACTCATAATATGCAGGCATTTCAGACACTACTCGTGACTTTTCTTGTACATTACTTGCTCAGTGCCTGTAATTTTGTAAATATCTACACAAAACCTCGTGTTTGCTATAACGAACACTTAGATTCAACGAGATTTTAGGTCAGGCCCGACGACCTCGTTGAATCCGAGTTCCACTGTATACACTTGATGATAAACGGCCCCGTGTAACGGCGTTCTCTATGTTGGATCCAGCAGGCACTTTCCAAAGCTTAAGCGGCTGACAGCGCGTCTGTTAAAAGTACGGCCTCGACAGGCTTTCTCTGTGTGGTCGCCCTTAGGCCGGTCCACATCTATGGGCCGGTCCCAGAGTGGCTCTGTAGGTCTGACCTGTAGCTGGCCTGGCGCACGCCGTGTGCGTGTCAGCACAGACGCACTGTTGGTTGGCACCTGTGTCTCAGCGATCGCGAGGCACACTCGCTGTGTGTCAGCACTGCCGCACTGTGTATTCACGTGTGTAGGTGTGCAACTGACGGGTCTGCCTTGCTATATTTAGGTAGGCTACTGTGTAATCCAAGACCAATTATACCAAGACGGAATAACTCTTCTTTACGTCATGTGTATTACATATAGATCTATCTAGAATCTTGGCCTTTCTAGGGACATCCCTCTGCATCTCAATCTAGAGAACCACATCTAGCCTAGATCTAGGCCTAGGCCTACGACAACAGTCGAATCTAGGTCAACCTCTCGATTCGAAGTTTCAAAATATGATAAAGTGCATTTCTCGGTGATTTTGTGGCCAAGTGTTGATACTAGCATCAATATTTAATAGTAAAGCACCTAATAATACTTACTTCTTGTTGATTTTGATGATCTGTGAAGAGTTTCAGTCGAAAATAAACACGAAGCGAGGCGACACATGTCGTTTTTACAACACTGTTGAATAGCACGTCTGACGCATCGCGCAGCTCTGCTGACAAAAAAACAGACGATACAGCTACGCTGCTTTAGCACACGATAATGTATACATTCATTTGCAGGGTGCGAGCCAGGCGAGCTACAGGTCAGACCTACAGAGCCACTCTGGGACCGGCCTAAGGGTTAGAACGACTGTCCCTCGCCCAAGTGTTTGGTGTGAACGCGCGGTTATTCGGACTCATCGCTGATGACTAGATTGGTGGTGGTTAAAAAAAATGACAGTTGGCCTACGTCAAGACTTGGATCTCTAGAGGAACATAGTTTCACAAACTACCAAAGTCTCGCAGAGAACTGGAGAATATGGTCACAAGAAATGAGACTTGATCCCACCGTGGCAAAAGAAGCCAAAAAGGACAAATGCTGAGGATTTTAAAAATATTATTGGCAGATATGGGAGGGAAATATACAATACTTGGATAATTCTCGAAGAAGAAGAGAATAAACTCAAGGTATTCTTCAGGTCTAGAAGATTTGACCAGTACGCAAACCAAAACACAACGTGACAATCGAACAGTATAAATTCAAAAGTAGAGAAAAGCAACCAAATGAGTCTCTGGACGAATTCGTCACAGACATGAAGCGGTTAGCAAAGCTTCGTCAGTATGAGAATTGTGGAGAAGGACATGATCATAGACCGTATTGTTGTGGAAATAAAGAAAACGGTAGTAAAAGAACGACTGCTCCGACAGCCAGTCCAAGAAAAGGTTCACCATTACAGCTGATGAGGCAGAAGCAGTGGTTAAGGTGAAGACAAAGAAGTTCGTCAAATCACCTGGAAAAGTGAAGAAATGTGAGACGTCATCCAACCACTGCAACAGATGCTGAAGCACTTACAGAAGTAGAGCGTTTCCGATCTTTGGAATGATTTGCAACATTTGCAAGAAACAAAATCACTTCGCCAAAGTATTCAGAGCTAAACAAAAAGTATCACACCAAACAATCCACAGCTGCTCAAGCAACTTCACAGATAGCTCGAAGAATTATTCAAAAGCCGAGCCAAAGCCGGTATACGATATTTATACAATAGGAGGATAGAGGTTCCAGTGAGACCCCTGCAGCTTGTGGAAAGAAATGCAGCATCTATGATATAGAAATGATGGCAATTAAAACAGCACTGAACCATCTACGGATTGGGTTGTGTTGTTTTTTTTACATTCATCCTGCCAAAGCACAGAATATAGCTATTTTCACTGACCTCACTATCAGTCCTACAAACAGTAGACAATGACCATCATCAAACCTACAGCCTAATTCATATACTGTTTAGAACCAACAAACTAGCAACAGCCCGTGGGGAAAACCTGGTGTTCTAGTGAATTCCCGGACACTCAAACACACCTTTAAATAACAGAAGACACACATTCCAAAAGGGGATCTTCTATATGAATAGCCCAAGTCTCCAACTTTATACCACACCGCTAAACATATCATCAAAGGCAACAACAATCAAGACTGGATGAACATAGGTCTTGAGATAAACAAGCAGAGAACAATTCAAACAAGAGACTACAAAAAAGGAAAGATCAATATCTACAACCGTCAGAGACAGGAACAGGTCACGATCTCCCGTTTGAGAACAAAACACGTCCAGGTCAACTTCCTCTCAGACAAAATAAACCAGAACTACCCCCAATAATATTACATGTATGTACGTTGTATGGTTACACCGATGAGACTGTGAATCATCACCTGTTTTTCCCGCATTGCACTAAATGACATCATAGCTGCGCTTATCAATCCGAGACCTGACATTGACAACTCATTCTATGGAACACCACCCAACTGCAACACACCTGCACTTATCCTTATACGGCATAGGACAGAGAGTTGAGAGCCCAGCTGTAGCTGGATCGATAGCAACAAAAACAACTATGACAAACGGTAGGAAAACATTAAATAAAAGAACTAGAACTAGATCTATATAAAATAAGAGCGAGTTGCTGTCACATTTCTTCGTAAATAGCGCTCTCAAAAAAGCTAAATCGTCTCCCGTCTACTTTTTACAGCTTGATCCACTCTTAAAGACAAAATAGAAACCCACAGAGAAGTAACAGGATTTCTAACGAGCAGTTCTAACATTAAGCCGGTCAAAAACTGCAGGCTAGAGTGCTTATCTGACGTAACTTTGAAGTAAAATCAGAAGCGTGTTTCATTTTATTAGAAATTTAACCAGTCATCTCCAAATTGGTTTAGAGAGGGCTCAATATTGTTTTCAGCTTATAACGTTCTAATAAATAGATAATAAGACAAAAAATAGAATGCCAGCTTTTGTGAGTTCTAGGAGAAACCTTGGTCCCAGCGATGGGTACAATGTTTGCTTAAAATAATCCATTATAGTTACATCAAGGCCACAAACGGCTCGTTCTTTCCTATCAAACATTAGTCCTTATCTCTCCTTCTTCTTTTGTCTGTGTTATCCTTTAGTGATAATTCCAATCTTTGACACATAAAATACACTCTATTACAAATAACCACACACAGGCTTATACACGTACAGACGGAAAGAGACACATACACGCACACACAACTAAACACACAAGAAAACACACACAAAAAATCACTCATAAACACATGCATACACTATCTTATACACATGCAGATGGACAGGCACACACATGAACACAAACACGCATACACACTGACACACACACAAACACACACACACACATGTACACACGCAGACACACACAGGCACTTGCACACACACACACACACACACACACACACATACACACACACACACACACACACACGCGCGCGCGCAGACACACACACATACGCACATACACATGCACACACGCA